GCAGCCCCCGCCACCCGGCCGCCCTAACTGTCTCCCGTCCTCCCGCGCAGACCCTTCCTCGTGCTGCCGCCGCTGATGGAGTGGATCCGGGTGGCCGTGGCGCACGCCGGCCATCGCCGCAGCTTCTCCATGGACAGCGACGACGTCCGCCAGGCGGCCCGGCTGCTTCTGCCCGGCGTGGACTGCGAGCCGCGCCAGCTCAGGTAGGGCCGGGCCGGGCCGGAGCCCCGCGAGCAAGGGGCGCCCCTTCGGGGGGAGAGCGGGCCCCGCCGGCCGCGCGCAGGCCTCCGGGCGCAGCGCCCCCCCTTCCCGCCAGCCGGAGCCCCACCCCGCGCTGGGCGCCCCGCGGACCGTGCGGGCTCGGCCGTAGTAGTGACAGACGCGGGGCTGACGAGCAGCGGGTCCCTGGACTGGCGGGGAAGAGGGAGGACAGGAGCAAGGCTGCGTGGGAATGCACCGGTTCTTCGAGGACCAGATAACCGTGTGCTGCTTTCTATTCCCCTTCTTTCTGCTCTCATTCTGCTCCTCTCCCTCCCGCCTTCTTCCCTCTCCCCGCAAAAAATGCCGGGCTTCCTGTAGTTTCTGACAACACCTTGCAGGGGACAGTTGCTGGCTGAGAAAGAGCATAGCTCTGCTTTTTTGCATACGTGGGGATGGCTTGGCTCACTCTTTCCTAGGTCTGTATCCACATCTCCCCTCCTTCAGGCTGGGAATTCTTCTTGGGCCACTCAGGGGCCCCATACTTGGGGGCTCATTTTTACCCAAAGCAAAAGAAGTACAATTACTCACTCCTGCTGAGTCAAAACCTGGGTCTAAATGCAAAAAGCAGGAAGCTGGGGGCTGTGTGTGCACTGTCTGGACTCCTTGTGCTGTCTTTCAGGGGTCGTGGTCACCATTTCCTTTCTTTTTTTCCCAACTTTGTTGAGATACAGTTGATACCACATTGTGGAGGTTTTAGATGTACAGGGTGTTGATTTGATACATTTAAATATTGCACAGTGATGACCACCACAGCTTTAGCTCCCATCTCCGTCCTGTTACACAGTAACCGTTTCTTTTTTGTGGGCAGAACATTTAAGACCCACTCTCTTAGCAACTTTTGGGTGTATAGGATACAGTATTTTTAGCTATAATCCCCATGCTGTACATGAGTCCCAGAACTTACTCATCTTATAACAGGAGGTGTGTACCCTTGGACCAACATCTCCCCATTTCCCCCACCCACCTGCCCCTGGCAACCACCATTCTACTCTCCGTTTCTCTGAGCTCAATTTAAATTCCACATATAAGTCTCTGTCTGTCTGCCTTATTTAACTTAGCATAATGCCCTCAAGGTCCATCCAAGCTGTTGCAAATGGTAGGGTTTCCTTCTTTCTCATGACTGAATAATATTCCATTGTGTACATAAATATTTTTTCACATCTACTTTATCCATTCATCCATTGACAGACACTGCGGTTGTTTCCATATCTTGACTATTGTGACTAATGCTGCAGTTGAACGTGGGGGTGCAGATGTGTCTTTGAAATCCTGTTTTCGTTTCCTTTGGAGAGAAACCCAGAAGTGGGATTACTGGATCATAGGGTAGTTTATTTTTCATTTTTTTGAGGAACTTTCATACTGTTTTCTCTGGTGGAATGGTGGCTGTACCAATATACATTTCCACCAACAGTGCATGGGGATTCCCTTTTCTCCACGTCCTCACCAACACTTGTTATTTCTTAGCTTTTTGAAGAGAGCCATTCTAACAGGCGTGCGGTGATAGCTCCTTGTGGTTTTGATTTGCACTTCTCAGCATCTGGAGATTCTAAACAGTTTTGGGGGAGGTTGCATTCAGTTTGTGAGGTCTCTGAGTTCCTTGAGTGTCCATGTCCCTGGGTGTAATGCTTCTGAGCTGTTTGGGGGTCTGTATCCCTGGGTGTGAGATCTTCGAATTGCCGAGAAGTCTGTGTCACAGTGTCTGTGGGCTGTTGGCAGGTCTGTGCTCACATTTTGAGCTGTCTGGCAACTTGAGGATCTGTGCCCCAGGTGTGAAGTCTCTCAGCTATTTGGTGTGGTCTGTGCAGGGTTGGAAGTCCCTAGGTTCCTTGTGGGTTCTACATCCTGGATTGCTGTTCTCTGAACTCAGAGTACAAGCTCTCTGAGCTGTTGAAAGGGTCTTTATCAATGTGTAAGATCTCTTGGCTGGTTGGAGTCTTTGTTCTTGGGGGCCCTGAACTGGCTAGCTGTTTCCCAGGGTGTGAGGTCTCTGGCTGTTTGGGAATTTGTATTCTTGGTGTATGGTATATAAGATAGTTTTGGGTATGTGTCCAAAATATGTCTGTCCGCAGGTCTCTGCTCTGTTTCTATATCTATCTTCAGATTGTGAGGTTCTGGAAGTATTTGGGGAGTCTGTATCCAGAGTATCTCATCCCAAACACTTGGGTATCTGTGTTCACTGGAGTGAATCCCTTGAGCCATCTGTCGGTCTCCGTTTACAAGCTGTGTGGGCATCTCTGTCTAGAGTATGAGAGCTGAGAAGTTTGGGTGTCTGTGTCCAAGGCATGGGTTGTCTGAGTGGTTTGAGGGTCCTCATCTCAGAGTTTGAGGTCTCCAAGTTGTTTGTTAAATGTTTAATGTCCATCTGCTGTTGGGGATTTGTGCTGATGAGTGGGGTTTCTGAACTTTTTTGGTGATCTGTGTTTCAAGGTGTGAGTCGAAAATATGTACAGAACTCATACAACTCAATAACAAAAAACCAAACAATCTGATTATAAAACGGTCAGAGGATCTGAATAGACATTTCCCCAAAGAAGAAATGTCGAGAGATGTTCAACATCACTCATCATCGAGAAAATACGAGTCAAAACCACAATGAGAGATCACCTCACACCTGTCAGAATGACTGTTATTAAAAAGACAAGAAACAACAAGTGTTGGCGAGGATGTGGAGAAAGGAGAACGCTCATGCACTGTTGGTGGGAATGCAAACTGGTGCAGCTGCTGTGGAAAACAGTATGGAGCTTCCTCAAAAAATTAAAAATAGAACCACTTTATGATCCAGCAGTTCCATCTGAAGAACACAAAAACACTAATTGGAAAAGATACATGCACCCCTGTGTTTATTGCACATTGTTTACACTGGCTAAGATATGGAAACACCCTGTGTCTATCGATGGATGAATGAATAACGATGTGGCAAATATATATATATATATATATGGTGGAATACTACTTAGCATAAAACCCAGTGAAATCTTGCCATTTACAACAACATGGATGGACCTTGAGGGTATTATGCTAAGTGAAATAAGTCAGACAGAGAAAGACAAATACTGCAGGATTTCACTTATATGTGGAATCTAAAAAAGCCAAAACAACAACAACAACAAAAACCCAGACTCATAGATACAAAGAACAGATTGGTGGTTGCCAGAGGAGAGGGGAATGGGGCAGTGGGCAAAATGGGTGAAGGGGATTAAGAAGTACAGACTTCTAGTTATAAAATAAATAAGTCATGAGGATGGGGAATATGTTCAGTAATACTTACGAACTTGTAAGGTGACCGATGGTAACTAGACTTCTGGTGGTGATCATTTCACAATGTATACAAATGTCAAATCACTATTGGGTACATCTAAAACTAATATAATACCATACATCAATTATGTCTCAATAAATAAAAATAAATTTTTAAGACACCTTAGGACAGATGTCTTCAAAGATTTAAGAAGCCTCACACGCTAAACACACTCGAGATACTTCAGACTCAAACTTTGAAAGCCACACCCTAAGTGAGTTCAGAGACCTCACACCTTGAATACAGAACCCCAGATGCCATAGATGCAAAGTTGGACCACAGACCCTCAAAGAGGTTAGAGACTTCACACCTGAACACACACCGTCAAAGACTTCCGACTCCTACATAATCACCATTTTCAAATCCCGGCTGCGCCTCCAATGAGGAACTACCCTTCCTCTGAAATTCATCTAGCCCAATCATGTGACCAGGCTGCAGCGATTTCCACCCTTCCAGGATCTGACTGGGGTCTGCAAGGAAAGGGAGGGTTTGCAGCATAAAACAGAGCCCCCTGAAGACCCAGAGGCGCCCCTCCACCCGGGACCACGCAGGGGGCTGATCTAAGTTATCATTGCTGGCATTTGTTGAATACTTACTGTATGCTGGGCTCCTTGAAGTGCTTTACACGGATTAATTAATATCTAATATTTCCCAAACCTTATGAGGTGGATACTGTTATCATGCCCACTTTATAAATAAGGAAACTGAGGCACAGATAGGTTAAATAACATGCCCGAGGTCATAGGACTAGTAAGTGATGAAGCCAGGATATGGATTCAGGTGGCCCAGACCTCCAGGCCCACAGTCCTAACCACTGAGTTGTACTCCCCTTGGGTTTCTGTCTAGGCTGTCTAGGCAGTTTCTACCTGCACGGCCATTCCTTATACCTTGCCACCTGGAATAACAGCATGTCTTGGGGGGAGGCTAAGGAGCAGTCATTTATTGAGCACCTACTGTGTGCTAGTTATCAATTACAGGAGGAGATTTACATTCATTACTTGTCTCCTTTAATCCCTGAGGCAGCCTCCTGAGGTGAGTATCATCTTCCCATTTTACAGATTAGGAAGCTGTTGGGGGGACAATTTATAGATGGAGGTACCAGAGATGAGGTCCTCGTGGCTCATACTCCAAAGCCCATCCTCTGCCCACAAGACTCCCCTGCTGCCTCTTTCCCAGAAGTGGCACCTTACCTGCAGGCTCTCTCCCACCACCTCACCTGCTGTCCCCAGCTCGAGTCGGAGCTGTCCTCAAGGCTCTAGCTCTTCTCTTTGCAACAGTCCTGAGTCTGCTGGGTGGCAGGCAGGGAAAGTAAGATGTTTCCTTAACTGTGGCTGTCCAAGTATTCCTTCTTGTTTGTCATGCTCTCAAGAGACTCCATAGCTTAAAGGTTAGGAGATTGGGCTCCAGAGTCCCATTGTCTAGATCCAAATCCCACCGCCGTGGTTAATTAGCTGTGCATCTTTGGGCAAGCTAGTTACCCTCTCTGGACCTTTGTTTTCCAACCCATAACATGTCCATTATGAAAACAGCCCCCCTCAGAGGTTGGTACAGGCACAAAGTGGGGCCAAGAACATGAGACACTTGTACAGACAAGGCCTAAAAGGAAGAAAGTGCTCACGACATGGTCTTTATTAGCTAGCATTG